GATGAATGTTAGGGCCATGCTTTTTGCCAGCCCCACGGAAGGGTGGCTGCAGAGCCCGGCTCTGTCACCATGGCTGCGGCAGAACCGCGGCTGTTGGAGGAAACAGGGTTTTGGCTGTGAAACCGAAAATGTTAATGGCAGCTAACGGGGTCTGACAGCGTTTACTCAGCTTCCTGATGCTGTGGGAGAGCAAGACTGTCTGTAATAAGATGTGGAGAAGGTGGCATCAACAGGCAGGGACGTCCGTGGGTATGTCCACACTCACACATGACCCTGATGTCTCTGATTCCCCACTCCTCATCCTTAAACCCCTTTGTGTGGAGCAAGGTGGGGGTTTTTCCAGGCTTGGGGGACTGTCCATCCAAGATCATAGAATCACAGAATCACAGAATGGTTTGGATTGGAAGGGACCTTAAAGCTCATCCAGTTCCAACCCCCCTGCCAGCAGCCGGGACACCTTCCACTAGACCAGGTTGCTCAAAGCCTCATCCAACCTGGCCTTCAACACTTCCAGGGAGGGGCATCCACAACTTCCTTGGGCAACCTGTTCCAGTGTCTGACCACCCTCACAGTGAAAAACTTCTTCCTAATATCTAATCTAAACCTCCCCAATATCTAATATATCTAATCTCTAATAATATCTAATATCTAATATTAGGAAGATGGGGAATGACCCCATTATTAATATCTAATATCTAAGATCAGGAGCCTTTGTACCTCTGACACTGATAGAACAACCCAGGATCTTGTCCCACGCTTACCTCATGTCTGTTAGCAAAGGCTGTGAGGGCACCAGGATGATTGTGGCCATCCCCTAACAGCATCCATCTTACCTTAGTGGAAACACTCAGGAATCCAGGAGAAAAAGCTGCTCTTTTTTTTGGTGGCATCCCTCAGCTGTCAATATAAAGCTCCACGCCGTCTATTTTAACAACATTTTCTTTTTTTTTTGTTCTGAATTGGAGAAAACATCAAACCCAAATGGTCTTGATGAGGCAAAACAACCGCCTCTGGCAACCTGCATCTCAAAAAGTGTTTGGTGGTATCTTTTCTCTTATGATTTGATATTCCTGGAAGAAAACATGACTTGTGCTGTGCTTAGAGACTGCTGGTATTTACACACACTTACACAGCTCAACACCACCCAGCGCTGCTTCCCCAAGCCAAGCTCAGATGCTGCTAGGAAAGCTTGGAAATTTAAAAAGCTTTTTGTTAAAGCTCATTTAAAGATTCAGTCCTTGGAAAAAGCTTTTTTTTTTTTTTAAAAAAAAAAAAAAGGAAAAAAAAATAATCAGAGGGAGTGTATTAGGATTTCCAGGCAATAATTTTAATTTGCTGCCACTGTCAAGTGCAGAATTGACAGCGGCTAAGAGATGGCAGAGGGAATCACCATCACCCTGCGTCATCTGCCCCGCTGCTTCTGCCTCCTCAACTCCTGAATCCAGATCCCAGCCCCAAAATCACAACCATTTCTGCCAGATTAATTGCTGAAAACAGTAAAATTGAATGTGACCCCCTGTGGACACTCTCCAAAAGCCACCTCTCGATTTGATGTGATGTCTCAGGATTTGAAGTGAAACGGGGTGGCTGTGAGCGGCGCTGGCAGACAGGATCGGTGACCTGGGATGCACTGGGAGCAATGGGATGGAAACCCCTGTCATCCATCTGAGCCCTGGACTTTGATCCAGCCAGTGTTTATTGTTCTCCTCATGGAAGGAGAGCAAACAAACAGCTCTTCCAGGGAAACATGGCAGGGAGCTGCTAAGCAGAGGCTGATTGGCAATGGGGAATGACCCCATAAAGCCTGGAGGCAACTCTGGAAAATGAGAAATCTATGAAAACCCATAGTTTTAACACAAAAAAATCAAAGAGAAGCTGCTATGCTCCATCTTTGAATTAGGCAGCTCCTGGAGCAAAGTGTTGTACCCAGAGATGCTCAGAGGTTCCCTGCTGATGGGAAAGTCAAGCTGGGAGCAGAGGGAGGTGGAGCAGCCTGGTTTAGATTTAAAATATAGAGAAGCAGATGAGGGGGGAAAAAAGTGAGTTGAACTTGTCACCCTGGGATCAGCCTGTTGTCTACAGCTTAGTGCTGGAGACCCATTAATGGTGGCACCAGCCCAGCCCAGCACGGAGATGGGCACATGGTGCAGCAAAGGAAGGACACAACAGCAGAGTGATGGCAATGATGGACACAGGGATGAAGACCAACAGGGCCACAGAAAAGAGACCAATAGCTTGAAGTCCAATTGCTTTTACACAGGAGAAGGCTCTCAGGCTCCAAGAGCCACTTAGGGAGCTGCATTGAGGGCTGGTCCAGAGCTGAAACCCCATCTGGACATGAGCATAGTGGTCACCCACACTGCCGCTCTCCCCAAGGGTTAAATGATGTCACAGATCCACAGCAGCTTGGAGAGATGGTTCAGAGATACCCAGGGACAGCATCACCCCGGTGACAGTATCACCCCAGGGACAGTATCACCCCAGGAGCAGCATCACCCCAGGAGCAGCATCACCACCACCTTCACCTCCCAAGTAGCAGCATGTCCCCACCACCACCCTCTCCCCCCAGTTCAGGGCCCCATGGGACCATCTCCACCAGGTCAAAGCAATGCTATTTTCCTGCTTTCCTCCTTCCTTGCCTGCTCCCAGCCATCCCCTGAGCACTTCCATGGCTTCTGCACCCAGGTGGGCTGTCAGAGGGGACCCGAGCAGGGGCCATGGATTCACCCCTCTGGCAGGAGCCAGAGAGTGGGGACCTCCCTCCTCCTCCCCAGCCTGCCTCTGCCCCATCCCCTGCCAGCACATCCTGGGGAGCTCCAGCATCGCTTTGGCACTGCTGCTCCAATGACCCTTGTTCTCCCCCAAAAATCTGCCGTGGGGGCAGCTGCTCCTTCTGTGCAACGGATGTCCTGTGTCATGGAGAGCTGCAGGTGCCTGCATCCTCAGCTGCATCCTCAGCTGCATCCTCCACCTCCACCAGCATCTTCCACCTGCATCCTCCAGCACAGCTCTGCCACCACAGGCAGCTCCCCGAGGAGCTGACCCACTTTTGGCCACGGCAAGGCAGGGGATGCCCAGTCCCACTGGCCCTGCAGCTCACTCCTGCCATTCACCTGCCTGTGATGTTTAATTTGAGTAACTAATGAAGTGCTCCCATGCTTTGCTGCTGGAAAGCAGCCGAGGGGCAGCACGGGATCATTTTGTGGTTTGAGATGATCAAGAGCTCAGTGGAGCAGCAGCATCTGCCTCCCACCCACCCAAGGCACCACTCCCCACAGACATTTGCTCTTTGCAACCCCTGGCTGAGACCATCCCTGACTTATTTCATCAGCATCAGTGTTTTGGCAGTGATGATACCTGCACGCTGAGCACCACCACTCTTCTGAGCAACGCTCTAGATGAAGGGACACAACTGTTAGAGGAGTCAAACCGAGTCAAGAGGGAACACAGCTTGTTCTGTTTACAGGCACCAGCACACATCAAAGCACTCCTGATTGAGCAGGTGGGTGTATCATTGAAGGAAAAGCTCTACTCACCCTCTCCAGGTCTTGCCTGAGGTGCATGAAAAGCTTTAAGCGTCGGTAGAGAACGTCCTGTTCTTGCTGGGCCAAGTTGTCCACTTCATCCGTTTTTGGTGTCAGCAGCGGTTTGTTGGAATTTGCTTTCCTCTTCAGCTTCCAGTACTGGTAGACAAAATCCACCAGGGATTCGCTTAAATCAAGGTTCTCCGCCACCTCTGAAGGCTTCACGAGTTCATAGAAGTCCTCCTCCAGCTGCTGGAGCTTTTGCTTCCGCAGCGTGACCTTCTCCAAGTCCAGTTGGGCTTGGTCAGGTTCTGTCCGTGCCTCTTCGGGCAACTTGGTGGCACCAGTGCTGTGCTCAAGGCAGAAAGACTTAAACTTCACTTCGTCGTTGTCTGCTAGAATAGTCCGCATGTCCAGGTTGTGGTCGAAGGCGCAGGTGACGTGGAACGCGGTGACGCAGGCGGGCATGGAGCACTGCAAGGAGAAGGACAGGGCTCAGGGACAGGGCAAAGCACCATCAGTGGAGGGGGATGTTTACCAACCCAATGGGACCACAAGTGCTTACTACAAACCCAGTGACACCCATCTGAGTGACAACACCTACCGTGAAGTGATAGATGCTCCACAACAAGGAGGAACACCTGTATTAGAATCATAGAATCATGGAATGGTTTGGGTTGGGAGGGACCTTAAAGCTCATCCAGTCCCAACCCCCCTGCCAGCAGCAGGGACACCTTCCACTAGACCAGGTTGCTCAAAGCCTCATCCAGCCTGGCCTTCAACACTTCCAGGGAGGAGCAACCACAGCTTCTCTGGCCAACCTGTTCCAGTGTCTGACCACCCTCACAGTGAAGAACATCTCTATGAGCTGGACACCATAAACCCAAGCAGAAGAAACCCAGGTTCATTAGATATCAGCAGGCACCTTCCTACCTTACCTGTTTTAATCCTTCTCTGTGAGAGACCCCGCTCATCTTTCACCCACCATAAACAGGAGCTTCCAATGGTTCTCCAGACATGTCAACAGGCAAAGACAACGGGCTGCTCAAAGACTGTCAATGGATTTCTCCTCAGGGAGAAATTTTCATCCACATTTCACCCTTAAACTACTCCACTCTCACCACACGCAAAGCCAATACACCATTTTTATTGAAAGCACGCAGGACACGTCAAGGTTTATGAGTGAACGTGGCATCTCAGAAGCAGCCAATGCTCCTGGAGCACCATGTCCTTCTCCTCTGGAAATTATACAGCCTCTAATTAGCTCCATTAAAAAAGAAAAAAGGCAACTGAGCATACATAGAGCAAATGAAATGAACTTTTTAGAGGTGGGACAGTGGCTACGCTGTTGTCAAACTTACACCAGATATTAATTTTTTAACGATTTCCTGAACTTACCTCAACCTTAAATCACTTTGGATCCCACAGGCAACAAACCTCAGCCTGGTTTCCTACAGAGGAACCCCCTCAGCCAGCACAGTGCCCATGTCCACGTCTGCACCTTCTCCCCCTCTACTCATTAACTGGTTTTTAATGGCTCGGAGTGTCAGGTAATTATTTCAACCGTAACTCATAAGAAATCAGGTCTATTCCAGCTGCTAATGACCAGTTAAACTGCAATAATGAGACATTTGAAGTGGGTTATTACAGTAGGCACCGTATTTCAGCGTTTACAGAAGAATTGTTCTTGTGGGGAATGAAATTCCAGTTGTGGTCTGAAGGACCAGGTGCAGGCAAGTGAAATTTCATGGATGATGGTGACAAAGCATCCAAGATGTTGTAGAGTTTTTCTGGGGTTTTGCTGCACTTAAAGACTTGAAAAAAATAAATATATATATATTCTGGTATTCTGTTGAGGAACAGAAGTTTTATGGCTTTTTATCTTCAACCCATCAGCCCTGAATTCCTGCTCAGTCACCCAGCGTGTGAACTTCTGACATCACTGTCAGTACATCACACGCCGGCTTTTAACGCGCTGGAGATGCGGCGTCACTGGGTGGAGTCACCCCTCCTCACTTCAATGGCACTTTCAGGTTGGACACCTTCGCCTGCTGGAAGTTCCTGTGATTGAGCTTTCTCCTCTGGTAGCCAAGATGGTAATGGTACTGCATGGAGCTCCTGACGTACTCCTGATATACTCATAACATACTCCTGACATGCTCCTGATATACTCCTGATACACTCCTGACGTACTCCTGATATACTGATGTACTCCTGACGTACTCCTGATGTACTTCATATACATTCCTGATATACTCCTGATACACTCCTGATGTGGTCCTGATACACTCCTGATGTACTCCTGATACACTCCTGATGTGCTCTTGATGAACTCCTGATATACTCCTGATGTACTCCTGATACACTCCTGATGTGCTCTTGATGAACTCCTGACATACTCCTGATGTACTCCTGATACACTCCTGATGTACTCCTGATACACTCCTGATGTGCTCCTGATACACTCCTGATGTGCTCCTGATACACTCCTGACGTACTCCTGATACACTCCTGACATACTCCTGATGTACTCCCAACACACTCCTGATGTACCCCTGACACACTCCTGATGAACTCCTGATACACTACTGATATACTCCTGATGTACTCCTGATATACTCCTGATGCTGTCCCACCGTACTCCTGATGCACTCCCGACATACTCACTCCTGATACACTCCATCCTGGCTCTTCCAGGTGGAGCTGCTTCAAACCCCAGCATCCTTTTGTGCCATTACACACATAAATATCTACGGTAGAGAAGGTGGACACCGAGAACTCACTGCCATCGGTGAACGATGTGAGCTAAGGAAAGCCACCCAGCAGTGTCCCCTTCCTCAACATGAGCTAAGGAAAGCCACCCAGCAGTGTCCCCTTCCTCCATGGGAGCTAAGGAAAGCCACCCAGCAATGTCCCCTTCCTCCATGGGAGCTAAGGAAAGCCACCCATCAGTGTCCCCTTCCTCAATGTGAGCTAAGGAAAGCCACCCAGCAGTGTCCCCTTCCTCAGTGTGAGCTAAGGAAAGCCACCCAGCAATGTCCCCTTCCTCCATGGGAGCTAAGGAAAGCCACCCAGCAATGTCCCCTTCCTCAACATGCGCTAAGGAAAGCCACCCAGCAGTGTCCCCTTCCTCCCTTTTCTGTCACCAGTGCTAATTATGGCATCAGCAAAACGGCTGTGGCTTCTGCCAGGACAACGTCCCGTTAACAGGAACAACCATCCCTCCACCTTAGGAATAAAGCAAACGGAGTGACAGTCGTCCTGGATCTGTCCCCCGACAGATGGCAAGCAGCACTTGGCAGAGACCGTGCCCAAAATGCAAATAGAAAATAATGAGGCAGCTCAGCTGACAAGAACAACAAAGGAAGGTACCTGGTTGGCCATGGCTACCCAGGGACCTTGCACAAACCGACAATAAAAACATATTGATCCAGCCCAGATCAGCGCTGGAACGAAGCTGCTCTTCACAGGAGGGAGGATCTGCCACACAGAATAAACCAGACTCAAACACCTGGCACAGTCCCCACGTCTGCTTCGTTATCGACCCTGCTTCGTTATCTTCCAGCACCTTTCATTCAAGGATTGCAGAATACTTGGCTTATCCAGGCAAATCCATCTCCAAACAGAAATCCAAGAGTGAGGGTGAAAACTGCAGCGGAGATGAATGTGGGGGCTGTTAATTAGTCCTCAAACCACTCCTCCTGGGAAGAAACAGTGGGGTGATTTATTTGCTGAGGAAATGCAAACAGAAGTTTCCAGTTTACAGAAGTTCTCTGCTGCAGTTTGGGGCTGGAGGGGAAGGAAGTGGCTCCTCCAACGGACCTGAGAGGGGAACTCAGGAAGGAAAAATTAATTACCGGTGTTGAACTCCGGCCAAGCCATCAGCCACGACACTTCTGCATCCTTCCAAAAACTACCAGGTGATTAATTTTAGTGACCACAGATGGTCTGGATCCTGGGAGCATTTCTCAGCTCCAACAGTCAATTTCAGCATCGCAGACGTCCTTGGAGGATTCAGGACTGAGGTGACAATGGTGTGGGAGCTACATGGTGAACACGCTGCTCTTCCCCTGATGTCAAGCTGGATGTTTTCAGGGCTACAGGTACAATCAGATGACAGCTCTGGGTACCACCACACCAGTTATCCCACTGTCCCACCAGTGGCACAAGCAGAGGAGTGATAATGAACGAGTGAGTGGTGGAGGACACTGCCCAGGGCTTTTTCTCCAGTAAAACAACAACAAAAAGAAAGCTGGAAGATGATGACAGCAAAAAATTATGCCCTTTGGAGAAACTGGACAGCAACTACCAGAGACCTGGTGTTTTGTGCTGCGTTGAAGGGCCTTGGTGAGCTCTTCCAGTTGTTCTGAGAAGTGAGGAGGGAGCTGGTGAGGAGGGAGCTGGGTCCCAAGCAAGTGTGGATGGGACTCAGGCTGTGCTGGAGCCTGGCTCCCAGCACTCTCTTTTCTGTATCAGCAATGCAAATGAGAAAATT